CACAGCATGGGCAGCAGTTGGGTCCTATATTTGGTAGATACAGTACTGTACTGTATATCTTTTCCCTCTGGGGTCATCCTTCGTCCTAGACGATGTAACGCTCTAACAGAGCACTTAGTAATGATCAACTTTATAAGAACAGAACTGCCACCTGCTTTGAAGTGATGTCAGGACAGCCCCCAGTAGCTTTCCTTTCACAACAGCGTTAGGCTATACTAATTGAACCCTTTTCATCCCCTTGGCGAAACTTCCGTGCCAGATTGTTTGTTTATTCCAGAAATAGTCCGCACCAACCCAACCCAACTCCTTTTTTGAAACCTGATTTTGTACTTTTTCGAAGTCGAATCTTTATTTTTACTCTTTGTAAAAACGGGCTCATGACATTTTGTTTACCTGGATTGAAGGCACAACGCAAAAAAAGACAAGCCGGAAGCCACAACAACACCGCGTGATTCTGAACGTTAACTTCAGGTCCCGAAAGCGGACGCGCGTCTACAGCATTGACCTCTTCGCGGCTACTGAGGTGGTTAACTGGCCAAAAGCGTCGAGCGCCATCCCCTCTGCTGCCACTCTAATGTGCTGCGGAGCAACTGGCAAACCCGAAAAGGCAGAGCGGCGCGCAGTCAGAGGGAATCCAGACTCATTGGCAGGAATCTAAACGGCGTTTCCCCTCAGCAAGTCGCACTCTGAGGATTAACGCTGGCTGCGTGCGCACGCCTGCCAAAGCAGATATAAACATCATACCTTGATATTGCACATTACTCGACGCCCTGTTTATATATATACTAGAAACACGTAAAAAAAGTGCAGCGGGAGCACTGTGGGCTCATCGCCAATGGCTCCTTTCGAGATGGTCGCATCATTAAATGTTGACTTTTTATGCAAACTTGTCCTTATTTTACCCTCTATTTTAGTCGAGGCCTAGCTGAAGTTCACTTCGAAGGTTTCAAAATCAAAGTAGCACTCACAAGTATTCTGTATGAATATTTTGTGTTAAAAATGAAAGAAAATACAAAACATATATATTTCAAAAGGTAAAAAAAAAACATGTATCTCACTAAATTTAAATGAGTATGATCAATTTCACTCTGTCGGCAACTAGAAGGCGGACCACATATTTCGTTTGAGTCGGTGTAAATTTGAACGAAGAAGAACAAAGCAGCAAAAGCATTTCAGCGCTTTTAGTTTTTATTGTAATGACACTGCTGTGATCCTGCTTTTTACGCCCACAAAAACGTGCAGGTCCATTTAAAAATGTACGGTACATCTTTGGCCATGATTACTGATGTATATCATGAGATGATAAATTAGGTTCGTTTCTTGATGGGATTTGTTTACTGTAAACTACAATACTACACTATATTTTTGCATAATTTAAATGTGTTCGGATGATGTTGCAATTGTGTTTAAAGACCTTTAAAAAAAATTACGCATCGTAAACGTTATCAAAATCATGCCTGGGAAGTATTTAAATAAGGGATTTCCATAACACGGATTTTACTTATCATCGGGGTGCTGGAATGTAGTAACTGCGATGTAGGAGGATTATTGTTTGGTCTATGTTTTGGATTTTTTTTTTCATAAACTCCCTTCATGTGGATTTTGTTGATCTTTCTTGGTTGTGTTTTGGACAAAAAAAAACTGCAAAACTTTTGGACATACATCGTTGGTACATGAGGTAGATCATCATCATCATCTTCAAGAACACCTGCCATTCACAGAAAAAGCGCTGAGATTGGTGCGTCATTGACCCTCCACTGACTGCACGTGACACATTCCCGACTGCAAAGAAACAGGAAGTGCATTCAAAGCGCCCGACGATAGCGAAGAAACGTCGTCGAAGCGTGTCATTGACTTTAAAAAGCCTCCTGCGGGGCGTCGCACAAGGCAGCTACCATCACTGCAAAAGCCTGATTAATTGCATGTGATTATCTTTTTTTTTCTTTTTTTTTTTAATCAATTACAGCATTAATGTGATCCTTGCAATAATGCGGGAATATTTTTTAAGGCACAAATTAAAAAAGCAGAAAGAAACATGAATGAAGACGCCCCCCCCCCCCACACACACACACACACACACCTCTCATTTTGCTCCATGCGAGATTTAGTCGCCATGCGTTGTGCGCTTCAAAAGGTTACAACTAAGTCGAATGGGCCTTCAGCTTGACGGCGCATCGGTTAATTGCGCACCCGCCCCCTCCCCAGAGCGTCATTCAGGCTTTTAACTATCGAGAAAATCAAGACTGGTATTGATTCTCACAAATGGTGGAAAGTTATTAAGACCCCCGTAAAACATCAACTCATGCTGGATGGTGACTTTTTTTTTTTTTCCCCATGTAGCATATTTCCTATAAATCCCTCGACACAAATCGATGCCCTGCTCCAATTAAATGTTGCTCGGGTTTGAATTCGTCCCAAATGCACAATCACGCTAACTCCGCTCACAAGGCTGCGACCGAAGAGAAATGTTGAACACTTTGACTTCAGCCGCGGTGCTGCCACACACAATCTCGCCCTCATCGCTCTTCAGTGCAGGTGTCCAATGCCCAACCCCCACTTCCCCCTTCCCTTACTTCCTCCTCCCCCAATTGCCAGTGCAAGGAGATATAACAAAGGTCATGGGGCCACCGAGATGCAGCACTTTGCCGGAATGGCTAATACGTCCAATGTGCCGGAAGAGCTATGCAGATGAGCGTAGGTATGCATGCGCTCCCGTGCGGTAATATTAAGTGAAAATGTCGTACGAATGCGCTTCGTACTGACGAGTGGAGTTGCGTTTGCACTCCCTGCCATATGATAAGCGGAGGCATGCTCCACGGCCTAATATTGAGCGGCGGCATCTTATATATGCACCTCATGCCATATGATGAATGGAAATATGTGTCTAATACATGCGCTCATCGTGGGTGGAAATATGTATGCGCTCAATACAGTGAAACTCCTCTACAACGAAATCATGTTTGCAGCAAGACATTTTTCACAACAGGGGGCTTTTCACTCCAGCAAATTTTATCTCAGATGTAAACACACACACACACACACACACACACCCACACAATTATTTTTCTTCCAATACGTAGTGCATAAATATGAGCATACACTTATTTGACACTTCATATAGCCAGTGTAGAAAGAAAAAACAATAAAGAAATTGCAAAATTTATAATCAGCATTCACTTTCTTTTACATAAATTTCTTGCATCATGTCTTTTACTTTGCTTCCTCCATCTTTCATTTTTATTACTTTTATCCTGTCTTCAAGCGTGAATGCTTTTCTTTTCTTAACTCCTTGGTCTGCAAAGGTCCGTTTCGTAGCCATTTTAGCAATGTAACGTTCGTGCTGCGTCTGAAACGAACAAGAGCAAATACTTCCTGGACTACTGCGCATGTGTAAACAAGTGTGGTGGTTGCTGTTGCCGTTTCCGAACGAAGCAGCAGAGGTCGCTGTGGCATGCTGAGGTTGGATTAGATTTTTGCGGAAGGCTTGTTTTCGTTGTAGTGAATCTCGTTGCGAGGCAGGAGCAGAGAAAAAGATTTCGTATAACGGAACAGGGGGACTTTTCGTCGTAAGGGGGAGCAGAAAAGTGGGAATGGCTTTCATGCATGAAAATATTTTTCACACGAGGAGGTATTTTCGCCCATGTAGGTTTCGCTGTAGAGGAGTTTCACTGTACTGTGCAAATTGTGGAGTATGCGCTCCACGTTGTACTGATGTGCCAAGATACGGATGTGCTCAATGCCATACGATGAGTGGAGGAAGGTACAGTATGTATGCGTTCTGCACTAAGAACACATCACATTCACCCAGTAAGGATGTGAGCGGCGTAACGGTCCCGCTTTCTGGTCACCGGGCCAGAGCCATCCCATTTTTTTTGACAAATATAAATAGATCATGCTCATTTTGCGCAGCGGTGAGGAGGAAAGTCATCATATTTGATGCTCACGGATCATCATTCAAAAGCATCCGGCGTGTCGTCGCGCTGAAGGCTGCCAGGTTGCAGGTCGCTTCGCCGGTTAACTGCCCTGAATGATGGTGGGATGAAGAAGGCAGCGGGGGAGGGGGTAGCGATTGACTTCATAAAAGGGATGAGATGGAGAAGCTTACAGAACACAAGCGGCGGGAATCAAGCTTGGTAGGTAACGTGAGAGCCAAGACAAAAAAAAAAAATGTATGATTAAATAATTATTTTTCTTGCCAATATCAGATTGATATTACTTTTAAAGAATGTTTGATATCGTGCTTCCTGTTGTCAGCGCCGGTTGCGTCACACAAGTATAATCCGAATCATATTTCAACCTGTAAATATTTCAGCCTTTATTTCTTTCAAGTTGCTGCGCCTCCCCCTTGAGGAAAGCCCTCACACGTTTCAAACCGCGGACGTAAATAATTAATGTAATCCCTCGCAAATAAAATTCATATTAGTTTTTCATATTTATCCAAACAACACCAAAATCGTTTCCCCTCTCTTTTTTTTTTTCGGGCTTATGTGCAGTAGTCTTGATACTTTTCAAACCACCACGAGTTTCTCATGCTTCTATATTAAGGCTGATACATTTTAATGCAACAAGATATGTTTCTATGATTGATGAAACAAAATATTAGAAAGAGTCTAATTTTGCTCTAATCATTGCATAATATGCAACGTTCAGGTGCATCGTTTGCACATTTAAAGGTGAAAAAATGACATCTGGCCGAACAACTGCCTGGCGTTGCGCGTGCACGGGCTCCAATTAAGACGCGCGTGCACAGCAGAAGTCGTCGCAGGCATCCATTCAGATGTGCGAATGTCACATAAAACGATTCCGCGTAGAAATGATTCAGAATTTGAAATAAATATCGCACGTATACATGCAAGCGTTTGTGTGCGCGCCACGGTGGTAAAAGGCGCGTGCACGAGCGCACCAACACGCGTTCGGAACCAAAAAAAAAAAAGACTGTGTGTATATAAATTAGCCCCATGATGATTTTCTAGTAAAATGAAGAGCAAGTTGTTGCTTACCGCTGTGCGAGTCTGTGAAGATGCTTTAGGATTCAAGAAGAAGCCCAGGAAGAAGGAGGACGAGGTTTTCGGACTTGGCTCGGTCCAAACTTGAAGATCTGCCGGACTTTCTCCACTAGTTTTTTTTTATTCTTCTCGTTTCATTTTATCCCTTCTTCTTCTTTTTTTTTTCCTCACAGCCCCTCTCTTCTTTTGTCCATGTCAGCCTTCCTTTCTTCACACAATGTGGTCGCTCACTATGTGGTCTGCTGCGTAAAAGCGGTGCCAAGATCCCCGCGGGCCCGTTCCGTCACAACGGTGCCGGATGACGGTGATGATGTTCGGGTCATATTGACGCTCTGAACGGAACCACCTTCTTATTTATTTATGTATTCATTTTGCTCCGGAGGAGGACCGACCTCTCGCGGCGATTACAGCCGATATCGGCGCTCACGAGTCGGTCATATGCTTCGATCATGCTCGCTCACATGCATGCCTCCGCATTGTCTTGCCTGCTCCACATCCTCCGCGGACCACCGATTCGCCGATCTGTTGATGACCGGAGAGCAGCGCTCGGATCTCGGGGAAGGTCTGGGCTGGGAGGCGGGGTGGCGGTTCTCGGTTAGTATTTTTCTGGAGTTTCCTCCCCGTGGAAGTCTGGCAGCCGAACCCCTGGTCCGCTCGTGAGTGACAGTTGAGGAGGGTCGGGTGGTGGTGGTGGGGGGGCGGGGGGTCTCGGAGGCACGCGCGCGGCTGGTGAGAACGAGGATCGCGCGTGCGCATCTGTAACCGAGGCGCGCTCCCGACGGGTGAGCATCTGTTTAATAAAGGAACAGAGACCAGAAAATGATTAGATCGTAAATTATTACATTATTATTTCAACAATTGTGATAGATAGATAGATGCCAATTTTAGATTTCAGGGGAAGGCAATTGGGAGATTGTTTTAATTTTTTTTTTTTTTTTAATTTAAGCTTTTGCAGGATTTCAAAATTTGATTGGAGTTGAAATTTTGCAGGCGTGAGATTTTTGGAGATTATGGAAAATCTGAGCAGGCTTTTGGAGCTCTTGGGGAGTTTTGTTGGCATTTTGAAGTTTTAAGTCGTACGTATTAAGGGATCTCCTTTCGAATTTGGGGGGGATTTGGAGGCATTCTGAGAGGGGTGAGAGATTTAGAGGGGATTTAAAAAAAATGAATTGAAATAGCAAGTTGCGTCTCCCTTGATCATGTATTGTCGGTCCGACTCATCACATCCTGTCTCAGCGGGGACGATGAGGCAGTGTCTGATTCTGTCAGGGGACAATGATTCAGGATTTGAGGGGTGCCGGGGGGCAGGGAGTCACAATGTCACGTGGCAACATTTTATGTATTTTTATTTTTTTTCCAAGTGTCAACCTTACGTGACCTCAATCACACAGGAACATCTAAAGAGCGACAACCCAGACAATCACAGGCAGGACACTTCATTAGTCGTACAAGCGATGACAATTGGTAAATCGTTTTAATTTAAAAGATGTGGGTGCAAACAAATCGAAGCATTCCACTTTCAAATGTCTTTGAATCGTTTCATGTGTCACATATTGGAGCACACCACTAATATATATTAATATTATATACATATACGTCCATATACACCAGTAGGTCACCTTGTGGTCTTGAATAAGTTCCACTTTAAAAATTGCATCATTAAAACGATGCAAAGGCTGAATAGTGCGGTAAAACATGAGGAAAAAAGGAGTGTGATATGGGGCAATTTTGAACAGATGGAGACTGGAAAAAAGGGTCCATCTTGGCCTTGAACACACCATAAGAATTTCTTTCTCAACCATCGTCTATATTTAGCACCGCATGGAACCACAGATTGTAACGAGTGCTCGGGGGCCCTTCAGTGTTCAGCAGGGTTCCCACTCTTTCACTTGCTTTTTATTTATGGACCTTTTAAGGACTTTTGAGGGCTAATTTATCCACTTTTTAAGGACTTTTTCTTCATTGAGCAGGGGATTCACGGTGGATTTAAAGAACAGAAAGCCACATATCACTGAGCTGGTGTTTAAATCATTGCTGCCAAAGGAAGGGAACATCTTTGTTTTAAGGGACAATCAGCTAACCCTTTATTTGACATACTGTATGTCAAATTGGCCCGAAATGACCCGAAGTGATCATATGATCATCATCGGAACTGATCGGAGACGGCGGGAAAAGCAGAGCGGGAACCAGGAAGCACAACATCTTTCTGATGTATTTTTATGAACTTGAACGACCTGTGGGAAGAGTGCTCATGACCTGCCTGGTAGTTAAGTGGTTAGTGTGTCTGCATTGTGCTGCAGAGATGCACGGTTCGAATCAGGCTCTGGTCTTCCTGTGCGTTCTCAAAAAAGTGCGTGGCTGTGCATTTTCTGGTCCTCTTCTCCGCACAACTATTCGTGCTCACACTCACATCTACGGACAATGTGAATTGGTACCTGACTGGTAGTCGAATGATTAGAGCGTCGGTGTTGCAACGTGGAGGGGCAGTGATCGATTCCAGCTCCAGCCTTCCTGTGTGTTCTCAAGAACATGCATGGCTATCCATTTTCTGATCCTGTTTGCGCTGACACTCGCACCGAGAGACAATATAGAGGACTCATTCTGTACCTGGTAGTCTAATGGTGAGTTCGTTGATCCCGTGCTGTGGAGGTGCAGGGTTCGATTCCGGCCTTCCTGTGCGATCTTAAAAATGTGCAGGCCCATCCATTTTCCCCACAACTATTCGCGCTCACCCTCACACCAAGGAACAATTCAAAAAACGCCTTGCTATACATGGCCGTTTTTTTTTGGCCCAAAACGCCTTACTATACATGGTCGTTTTTTTTTCGGCTAAAAACACCTTACTATACATGGTCGTTTTTTTTCGGCTAAAAACGCCTGACTATACATGGTCGTTTTTTTCGGCCCAAAACGCCTTACTATACATGGTCGTTTTTTTTTCGGCTAAAAACACCTTACTATACATGGTCGTTTTTTTTCGGCTAAAAACGCCTGACTATACATGGTCGTTTTTTTCGGCCCAAAACGCCTTACTATACATGGTCGTTTTTTTTTCGGCTAAAAACACCTTACTATACATGGTCGTTTTTTTTCGGCTAAAAACGCCTGACTATACATGGTCGTTTTTTTCGGCCCAAAACGCCTTACTATACATGGTCGTTTTTTTTTCGGCTAAAAACACCTTACTATACATGGTCGTTTTTTTTCGGCTAAAAACGCCTGACTATACATGGTCGTTTTTTTCGGCCCAAAACGCCTTACTATACATGGTCGTTTTTTTTTCGGCTAAAAACACCTTACTATACATGGTCGTTTTTTTTCGGCTAAAAACGCCTGACTATACATGGTCGTTTTTTTCGGCCCAAAACGCCTTACTATACATGGTCGTTTTTTTTTCGGCTAAAAACACCTTACTATACATGGTCGTTTTTTTTCGGCTAAAAACGCCTGACTATACATGGTCGTTTTTTTCGGCCCAAAACGCCTTACTATACATGGTCGTTTTTTTTTCGGCTAAAAACACCTTACTATACATGGTCGTTTTTTTTCGGCTAAAAACGCCTGACTATACATGGTCGTTTTTTTCGGCCCAAAACGCCTTACTATACATGGTCGTTTTTTTTTCGGCTAAAAACACCTTACTATACATGGTCGTTTTTTTTCGGCTAAAAACGCCTGACTATACATGGTCGTTTTTTTCGGCCCAAAACGCCTTACTATACATGGTCGTTTTTTTTTCGGCTAAAAACACCTTACTATACATGGTCGTTTTTTTTCGGCTAAAAACGCCTGACTATACATGGTCGTTTTTTTCGGCCCAAAACGCCTTACTATACATGGTCGTTTTTTTTTCGGCTAAAAACACCTTACTATACATGGTCGTTTTTTTTCGGCTAAAAACGCCTGACTATACATGGTCGTTTTTTTCGGCCCAAAACGCCTTACTATACATGGTCGTTTTTTTTTCGGCTAAAAACACCTTACTATACATGGTCGTTTTTTTTCGGCTAAAAACGCCTGACTATACATGGTCGTTTTTTTCGGCCCAAAACGCCTTACTATACATGGTCGTTTTTTTTTCGGCTAAAAACACCTTACTATACATGGTCGTTTTTTTTCGGCTAAAAACGCCTGACTATACATGGTCGTTTTTTTCGGCCCAAAACGCCTTACTATACATGGTCGTTTTTTTTTCGGCTAAAAACACCTTACTATACATGGTCGTTTTTTTTCGGCTAAAAACGCCTGACTATACATGGTCGTTTTTTTCGGCCCAAAACGCCTTACTATACATGGTCGTTTTTTTTTCGGCTAAAAACACCTTACTATACATGGTCGTTTTTTTTCGGCTAAAAACGCCTGACTATACATGGTCGTTTTTTTCGGCCCAAAACGCCTTACTATACATGGTCGTTTTTTTTTCGGCTAAAAACACCTTACTATACATGGTCGTTTTTTTTCGGCTAAAAACGCCTGACTATACATGGTCGTTTTTTTCGGCCCAAAACGCCTTACTATACATGGTCGTTTTTTTTTCGGCTAAAAACACCTTACTATACATGGTCGTTTTTTTTCGGCTAAAAACGCCTGACTATACATGGTCGTTTTTTTCGGCCCAAAACGCCTTACTATACATGGTCGTTTTTTTTTCGGCTAAAAACACCTTACTATACATGGTCGTTTTTTTTCGGCTAAAAACGCCTGACTATACATGGTCGTTTTTTTCGGCCCAAAACGCCTTACTATACATGGTCGTTTTTTTTTCGGCTAAAAACACCTTACTATACATGGTCGTTTTTTTTCGGCTAAAAACGCCTGACTATACATGGTCGTTTTTTTCGGCCCAAAACGCCTTACTATACATGGTCGTTTTTTTTTCGGCTAAAAACACCTTACTATACATGGTCGTTTTTTTTCGGCTAAAAACGCCTGACTATACATGGTCGTTTTTTTCGGCCCAAAACGCCTTACTATACATGGTCGTTTTTTTTTCGGCTAAAAACACCTTACTATACATGGTCGTTTTTTTTCGGCTAAAAACGCCTGACTATACATGGTCGTTTTTTTCGGCCCAAAACGCCTTACTATACATGGTCGTTTTTTTTTCGGCTAAAAACACCTTACTATACATGGTCGTTTTTTTTCGGCTAAAAACGCCTGACTATACATGGTCGTTTTTTTCGGCCCAAAACGCCTTACTATACATGGTCGTTTTTTTTTCGGCTAAAAACACCTTACTATACATGGTCGTTTTTTTTCGGCTAAAAACGCCTGACTATACATGGTCGTTTTTTTCGGCCCAAAACGCCTTACTATACATGGTCGTTTTTTTTTCGGCTAAAAACACCTTACTATACATGGTCGTTTTTTTTCGGCTAAAAACGCCTGACTATACATGGTCGTTTTTTTCGGCCCAAAACGCCTTACTATACATGGTCGTTTTTTTTTCGGCTAAAAACACCTTACTATACATGGTCGTTTTTTTTCGGCTAAAAACGCCTGACTATACATGGTCGTTTTTTTCGGCCCAAAACGCCTTACTATACATGGTCATTTTTTTCGTCGTTTTTTTCAGCAAAAAACGCCTTACTATACGAGGTCGTTTTTTTCCGCCCAAAACGCTATACATGGTTGTTTTTTTTCGGCTAAAAACACCGTACTATACATGGTCGTTTTTTTCGGCTAAAATTGCCTTACTATACATGGTGGTTTTTTTCGGCCCAAAACGCCTTCCTATACAT